ATAGACGACGAGTGGCCCCAGTCTCCGTGCGTTTGGGATTGGCTGGACCGTGAGCTCCGAGCAGGCCCCGAGTACGTGACCTGCATCAGGCGGCTCTTCTCAGACGACTGGGGGAGCTGGTGGAGTGAGGACGTCGGGCAACCTCTGATATACGGCCATCAGTTGACGGAATACTACCAGGCCATAGGACAGGCGCCATACTGCGTCGAGGACGAGTTTGACGACGAGGGTTGGGAGCGAGAAGACGACGAGGAGCTGTGGGAGCCAGACTGGGTCGAACCAAAGAGTGAGGTTGACGAGGAGGAGATTGACGTTATAGACGCCCATTTTCCTAGGATAGGAGTACTGGTCCGGGCGTAGGAGGTAGAGGAGCGCACCAGGGCGACGGTTGAGTGAGTCTGGCTATTGAACCTATTCGACCATACTGGACCTGAGTGCGAGAGTTGTCTGAAGGGTTAGCAAAGTCGAGAGATGGGGTGGGAGTAGAGTGATGCTGACCGACAGTAGGAGAAGAAATGAGGAGTGATTCAGCGGCATGGTTAGCTTATGTATTCTCACGAGAGTCCGAATCGTATAGTGTGAGGAAGCTTGTGGGACCCAGAGAGACGGCGGTTGGATACGACATACCACTTCCTGTGGCGTTAGAAGACGCAGGGCGAGTACCGATACGATACTTGGGAACGTGGCTCGCAGAGGGGCTCTTCCTATGGACAGTGATACTACGAGACGAACAACCCGAGAGGACTCATGATCTAGAAGGGGTCGGACATCTGATACCGGATAGAACACACAATTTAGAGATAGGGCTAACGCTCGCAGGGGCGAGCAGAAGTTGGTGGAGAAGCGAGTTGTTGGCCAGAGTGATCGTTAATCAGCAATTGGCGAGGCTCTCTAGAAGGAGAACGAGTTGGAGCTGCTTGGTATACGGTCCACCACATCCGACCCTCTACCCGAGAAAGGATTGGCAATTCGGACTTCCTACCTTCGTAGTAGGGCAGACCTATGGGAGCGTGGATCGTTTGAGTAAAGCAGTAGACCACACACTTTACGCGCTCTGGGAGGGCTTAGCGCCCCGCTTCAAGGAAGTATACTACGCCATTTGTGGGAGGTGGGGCCCGCCCAGTAGAGAGAGGCTTGACGACATCATAGATGTTACGAGCTGGGTGGATTGTCTGGGGCCTATCGATCTGATTAGGTATTGCAGGAGACGGGCAGAGATCGATTACGCGGGGCTAGAAGACGCGAGATTTTTCTTTGATGCCGCAGCTTAGGGAATGTCGGGAAGGACGACCACGGTAATGCGTGTAGAAGAGCAACTGGTAATTGCAGGATACACTGTGACAGTACTTCTCCGAGCGTACGTAGACGAGGACTTGACAGCGAGTGAGTGCAGACAACGAGCTAGGGATCTGATCGACGAGCGCAGAGCTGATGTACTGGCACGGGTGACCTTCCAGACCTCGATTTCCTATGATGTGATGATATGGTCTCATGGTTATATGCGCGCGGAGTACTACCACGATGAGACGGTAGCGGAGGCTAGAGCGAGGGTGAGAGGGTCAGCTGGAAAAAGATGTGGACTGAGAATGGAAGAGGAGAGTGAGGCAGTCGGAAGAGTGAGAAAGCGCGTTAAAGAACCACTCTTGAGCCAGGTAAAGAAGTTAGTGAACAAGTTAAGGAAGATCTGGTCGTGTCAGGGCGAGGGTAAGTTGCGTAGGGCTGAACTCGTGACGAGAGAGTTAGAGAATCTGTTTAGGGAGGAAAGAGAGATTATCCAAGCGTGGCGATCAGACTTTCTGGAGAGGGTAAAGGTTAGAAGCATATCACGCGAAGAAACTACTGAGCGATCTGCAGAGAGTGAGATAACGGAAGACGAAGTAACGCAGGGAAGTAGCGACAGGACATGAGCAGGACAGCAGTACACACGACGGATCGGTACTCACTGCATGTGGTAGGAAGACTGGACGGACCATTAGTGTTAGTGATCATAGAACTCCAGCTCCATACCAGACTGTGCATAGTTGAGGAGGCAGAGTGTGTCCGCCGCGCGCTGCGAGAGGCTAGAGGATCAGGACTTTGGATTGGAATAGAAGGAGGACGGAGGATAAAATACGTACTCCAAGTGACACCTTTCGAAGGACGGTCTAGGATAAGGGCATGGTACGAGACGACCAGAGAGGCTGAGAG